TTTGAAAATGTCCACCGCAGTTGTGGACGAAACGTCAGGAAGAAATTCCGATAGACCACGGCTTCAAAGCCCGGAAAACATTCCTAAATGTGATTGTTGATTTTGTTCGTAATTACTTTAATTGTTAGTTTTAGAGCAGTGCTTAAAATGTTTATTCCTCTATAATTTGATGGTTTTCTCTTGCCCCCTTTTTTCAACATTAGCACAGTAGTGCTGGTTAGCATTCATCTAGGATTTTCTGTTGATATGTAATTTTCTGTATTAAAGTTGTTAATACTGCTGTTAGTCTTTGCCCACCGTATTTGCAGTAGTTTAGTAGTTTCTGCAGTGCTTTTTCTACGTAGGATGTGTTGATCGCTGTATCTTCGTTAATAGTTATTTCTGGTGTGGTAGGCTCGTCTGTCGCGTTTGTCGTTTTATACAGATCGGTTAAATATCTGATCCACTCTTCCTTTTTATGTAGGTGGCTAGAAGTTCATTGACCTCGCAAGCAAAAAACTAAACTATTAATTTGGAAATAATATTGCAAATACTGGGACTTGTGTTCATTCATGAGTAAGTAGAGAGTTTCGCTCAAAACACGTTTTCTCCTATCGGAAAAGATCTACGTTTTCGATTTTACCTTCGGATTTTTGAGCAAATTTAAATGCCTCGACTTAAAGCATTAAAAATATAGAGGTCGCCAGTTACAGAAATAAACTGTAAAGTAAATTAAGTTATATTCGTAGCGTGGATTAAAATATTTAGAAGCACATTTTTGCACACCGTTTTCACCGTTTCAACAAACGCTAATCGCAGTTTTGGCATTTACTGTTGTAGGTCTAACAAATTGGAACCCCCATTTTAAAACATTGTTACCTGCAGTAAGAACTGGACAATATTGTCATATTTTTTCAATTGGTGAAATATGATCCGTTTCCGAGATGTCAATAATGAGTGTTGAATTTGGATCATTCCAAGCATATTAAATTTCTCCTGTTTATGATTCAGGCAAAAGAACGATATAATTCTTGTTTTTATCGAACGCAATTAATTTGTTCAAAATTTTTTTTTATCGAAAGGCAGTGAATGAAAAGAGCAATTGCAGCAACGAGGCAAAAACATAGTTTAACTTAGTACTTCATTTTCTTGCTATTGTTCAATCAATCTCAACACATTTTGGCCTACATTTTGCAGTTTGGTGGTGGACACTTATGCACATTTCAAAATGTTTCCAATCATTTGCTGAAATCCATGGTTAATCCTAATACATATATACATATATACACAAAAATAAATGCTCACATATCTTTTTCGCATTTCTGCACATTTGCAAATTTTCGTTTGCTGTAAAATGTCATTTAGTGGACCAAAAGAGTACCAAAGTTCTGATGTATTTCAAATAGTACTTTTGCAAAAATCACAAGTATTTTCGTGCTTCCAGGTTATGTGTCGATCCCTAATTTTTTTAAATATAACGAAACATGGAATGAGAAAATCTGTTTAATTTTCGGAAATGATTGACGAAGTGTTGTCATTTGGTGTTC